CAAGGGGGGGGGGGGCGGGGTGGAGGGATTGCTTTCCTGTTTCCCCCTTGGCTTGCTCCCCAGCCTTTTGGCTAGAAGCAAGTGAGACATGGGGGGCATCCAAACTCCAGGGTCTCTGGGCCCTGGGCTTGCACGCTGGATGCCTGCCACAGATTTGGGGAGCATCTGTAGCCTGTCTGATGGGTTTGGGAAGGATACTTGCCTAGTGGTACATCTGCACAGACTTGACTCTGCTCAGTGGAAACGGGGAACTTGACTACTGGGCTCTGCCCAATAGAATCTGGAACTGTTTTGGCCCTCGAAAAAAAATTTAAAAAGAAGGTTTGTATTATATAGAAGTAGTTGCCAAAGTGCTTTTATGGAGTCTGTGTGAATGCTAAAACTTGCAGCAGTTTCCAAACAGTTCAAATGGATCAATTCTGGATGAACTAAGTTTCTGGGTGCTATATGCAAATTACTACAGGTATCTTTATTTCAAGGTCATTTTTTTCAAATTTTCTCCTTACTTCCCTGTGCTCAGGGAGAGCAGGGTCTGACTGTAAAAACGGGGCGGGGGTGGGGAATTTGGGGCACCGAAGGCAAAGAGCCTGCCTGAGCCCCACAGATTTATTTTTCCTGCCGTAGCAGTGGGAGGGAGAAAAATGCAAGACAAACCTCCAATAATTGGATTCTATAACTGGAAAATTATAACAAATTTATACATTTTCCATGGGCAGAATCTAATTATTGTGAGGGGGGGAATGCCTTATAATGAGGGTCATTTTATATTTGAGTAAATATGGTATATAGTTAGTACAAGAAAAGAAATCATCATTGCTTTGTATATAATACCTGAACTATCACAGCTACAACAACGCTCTAACCCTATGAAAAAGAAAATCAGTCCAGAGTGCCATATTTTGCCTAGTCTTGAAGTGAAGTTAGTAAATTCTACATAGGTTTGGCCACAAATTAGTTTTGTTCTGCTCAAAGCTCTGCATAGCGTAGGCTATCTACCTACCTATTTCACATGCCAGTATATTGATTCTCTGATTTTGTACCTAGTTTCTATTCTTAGTTGTACTTAATTGGCTGGGGCGATATCATCCCGGCACCCGTTCCTGCCCAGGGCAGGGGGTCGGACCTGATGATCTGTTTAAGTCCCTTCTGACCCTAAGTACTATGATACTTAACACCTGGGGATTCCACCTTTTTAGTTTCCCTATAGGCAAAATTGAGATGAATGATACTTCCTTTCTAAAGCAAGTTATCATCTATGGATGAAACAGCCTATAGATATGAGATGACTGGTATTATTATTCATGTTTCATGAAACATTTTTTCTACGGTTCTACCTTTTCCTTAGCGAAAGGAAGTTGATTAGTATTTAGCTTGGGTTCAGAAAGAGATACCCAGAGAAACACAGGCTGATTCACATGCATAATAATGGTAATAATAGCTAACTCTTGAATAATGCTTCCTATCAGTACATTTCAAAGGTAAGCTCAGGCACAGGGAGATTAAGTAATTTAGCAAAGCAGGCAGCTGGCCAATGGCACAGCTAAGAGAAACCTGAGTCCTAGTCTAGTACTCTTATCACTAGCCCATACTGGTTCCTAATAATGTGTATGCATTAGGCCTGCTTCTGCCCAACCCCATGAGCTCCTAACCCTTGTCTGGACTGCTAAAATTCATTCCAAAAGTTTAAGACTGTAACCAGGCGTCAAACAGTGCAAACCCACAGGCAGTATCTGACCCTGGTGGTTCTCTGTATGCTAGAAACAAACTTGCCAAAAAGCTTAAATACTTCATTAGTCTTAATCACACGCCATGCCAGAATACCCTGCAAAAAGCAATCAGGTGTACAGACAGACATGGCATCCTAAGTCGCAGGGTCCCTGAAAGTTCAAGGGACCTCTTTAGTGCTATATTCTGCCCCGACCAAGGACAGTCAAGTATATGTTTTTTCTGAACCTGAATATCCTGGATATGCATATTGTTTACACTGCTCCTAAGCTTGTCCCACAGCCCCCTGCTCCCTTTGCATGGCAGCAGCTGCCTTTGCCGTAGCTGTCGGATGGCTATCCTATTACAGGCTCCAAATCCAATCAAAAATAGGGAAATGAAAAGGTGAGGGGAAGAACTTGGACCATTGCAAGCAGAGCAGCGGAACATTAACACTAAAAGATATTCCAATTAATATTAAGACAATTAAACTGGAAGATGGAAGTGTGAGGCTCATTAGCGGTCTGACTTGGTTGCAGCACTCGTGAGGGATGTGAACGTGTTAATGGCAATATGCTAGTGTAGTGCTGTATAACCTGTCTAATTGCATTAACAGTTGATCAATCTGGGCTACAAAGTGGCACACGGTGATTATATTCTTTTAACCCAGCACAGTTTCCAGGAGCCCGTGAACTGCAGCAATGAGGACAAGCAAGTGCAGGGGAGCTGGACCCCATGATCTCTCAGATGCAATGAGAGAGGTGGCAGGAGCTGTGTTTTGCTGTACTAGAGGTCAGGATACGTGGGGATGAGGACTCAGTTTTGGGCACAGCTAATAGATGATGGGTGAAGGCACAAGGGAAATGGGATGTTATCCGAAGCTCTTCTTCCCGAGGAGCTGTTGGAGGATCAACGGGTTTGGCAACAAGACCTACTCTTGTGACTGTCACCGTCAAAGCACTTGTGGTGACTAGGAACAGAGGTGGGAGCCAGATGTTTAACATCTGCTCGCAAGCTAAATCAAAATCACCTGCACGTTACTACTTTTGCAGCTATAAACTAAGCCATGGGGGAGGAAAACTGTGATCATTCCCACTTTACAGATGGGGAGGGGAAGCACGGAAAAAGTACTCAGCGACTTGACCGAGTGAGGAGCAAGAACAAAACCCCAGTCTCCTGAGTTGTAGCCAAATATTAATTTGGGAAGCTGTCTGCCTCCCTGCCCTTCTGCAGCTTGTGGGGCGCATGCAGGATTCGCTTCCTGCCTTAATGTGCTGCATAATGTTGGCACAAGCTAGTGTTAAACAGCTGCTGTGTACCATCCCAATGGGAGCTGGCTGCACTTCAGTGGTGGATGAAGTGAGCCCTGTGTATACAGCCTGTAAAACACTTCGGATCCTTCGGGATGAAAGGCAGTATATAAAAGTGAAGGATTATTATGGTCAATACATTTGGGTCTACTAAGTGCAGGTCTATTGTGTGTGTAATTGCCAGGCAATCTGCAGGAACATGCTTCTCTGTAGCTACAGGGTGTTTTATTTGCTAAGTAACCCTCTGGATGGTGATATTGTTCCAAAGGTTCAGTGCCTGCTTGTTGCAACTTGCCGTGTTACCTACCTGGGATGCAAAGTGCTAAAGACACCTCCCTAAATCCCTGCAGCAGATACCATTAGTCTGCAAACTGACCCCGTCTGTGCCAGGATCCCTGTCGCTATAGCAATGCAGGTGAAAGCCAGAGATGCCCAGGGTGTGGAAAAATAAAGGGGGGGGGGGTCGAAGCAGGGACGGTAAAGGAAGAATCTTTGCAAAAGTTAGAGCTGCCAGGTTAAATAAAAGGCTTTGGCTTGTAGGAGTGCAGAACGCTAATGCGGTGTGAGGCAGCGAGCGAAGCTGCGAGGCGAGAGAGCAGCAAGAAGGAGCGAAGCCGCCGTTGAAACGCACACATTTCCATGCCCCAGGAGACTGTGCCTGCTACTTGACATCCTCCCCTCTCTCTGATCAACATGGGATTTGACACGCCGATGAACAGCAAAAGGTCTGGTGCTGGCTTATGCCCGCCACTCGTGTGACAGGGATAGGGTGAGGACGAGCTGCTTCAAAGGGTAAAGGACCAATCTCCTAAGTGCCCTTCCTTGCTGCACATGTACCCCACCACTGCAAAAGAAATCAGGACTCAAACTGACAGAGACGGATGGGCTAGGTTAAGTTGGAGTCACGGCTCTGAGACTTGGGACTGCATTGGCTCTGCTGCGTGAGGTCCAAAAACCTTTCCCAGGGCTATCAGTCTTCAGGAACTGAGCCTTGCCATCAAGGTCCTGCTGCGACCCTTCCAGGCCTGGGTTGATCTTGTGCCGCCACGTGTCTCAGACTACCCGACCTGCAGCGAAGGGCGTGCATCCATCCCCGGCCCTGGCTGTTCTTGGCAGAAAATATATGGCTTTCATTACGGTTTAAGTATCTCTTCCATGTCATGCTCATCAAGCGGAGACCATATTACAAGGACAGCAGAGAAGGGGACCCTTGAGGAGGGAGAGCAAATGAACACTAAGTGAGAGGGGACCCATTTCCTCAACAGCGCTCTACGGACATGTCCTCCATGGCCCTTCCCCGCTTCCCTTTCTGGGACGGTGCGAGGAGGCTGGAAGAAACATCCACTAATGCTTAACCCCGCTTCCCTCCAGCACAGCACTGCTCTATGTCCTTCTGCATCCATAATACTTGTCCATAAGGCCAGAACTGCCCTTTCCCTTGAACTGATTATTTCTAGGCAGGTTGTATGCCATACAATCCTGGAGTAACGTCCGTGAGCATATAGCTGAGCCTTAAACTCCCCCATCCTGCACTTCTGAATTACATGGGCGCTACAGACATAAATCTCAGGTCTAGCTCTCTATTGTAGTCTGTTCCCATAGCCCTGAAACATCTTCCATGGCTTATGGCAGGGTTTATGTCCTTGGTGGCAGCTCTGGGCTTGACAAAATCGTACAGGCATGGCCAAAGGGAGACTCAAAGCCTTCAAAGCACTTAGACACCCAAGCCCTGAATTTCATCCACTGAATATAGCCCTCATTCTAGGTTCTCATCCTACTTCGCTTAGTATAAGTGGGGATGGAGGAGTCAATAGCACTCCAAATCTCTCTCCTGTCATCTTGAGCACCTGGGTCTGCAAGCCCAGCACCATCAACCCACAGCTAAAATCTTAAACCGGCATTGCCTTCCTACCAGAACGCGTGATGTGAGTGTCTGGGGATGCGCTCCACAGCTGGGATACATGCTGTCAGGTTTTGGGGGGTTTTTTTTGGTATTTGGTTCTCACATTTTTGCTTGCACTGATTTTAGTGGGATGCGTGCCAAGAACGAGTATGCTCCATGGGTGAATTTTACCCAGTGCCAAAGGCCAGCAAGAGGCTTGAGCACCAGTTACACCCTTCTTAAGTTGTCAGTGATTGAAGTGCTGTGTGGGTCCAAGCATGGTTGAATTTCAGACAATGTGAGTAAAGGGTGCTGGATTGGGCCTTGATTATTAACATAGGATGGAGGGATTGCTGTCTCCCTCTTCCGCTCTGCTCTCTGCCTCCCTCCCCTCCACCCAGCCCTCTGCAGATTTCTGCTGCCTCCAAAGATTGTCACCTAAAGACTTAACAAAATGGGGCATTTATTTCCTGCTGAATGCCTCTCACCAGCGATAGGCTCCAGCACCCCGCACAGTGAGTTGTTTGTTTCCCCCCGCATGTTAAAATCAATGGTGTTTGTTCATCGTGTGGAATGACAGCTCATTTCTCTGGACAGGTTGGCTTCACAATTGCTTGTTCAAGAGGAAATCTGATAAGAAACAATAGGCTGTTTCTTGGGAGCATTAAACTGCTGTATTCTAATTCCAGCTCCCGTCTCACTCAGTGTATCTTCATTTTTTCTCTTTTCTTTTCATATTGATTTCCATTTTTCCAGCCCCCAAACATTAGAAATCATGTAAGGACATATTAGTCTGTCTGTAAGCAACTCAGAAATAATAACCAGACAAGTCATGCAAACGAAAACTTATCGCAAAATGGGAAGGAAGGGGAGCTAAGACAATAGACCAGCAATTCTACATGCAATCTTCTTGCAGCAATGAGGATTGTGAGACAAGTCTTCTTCTAGGGCTACTGCTGGTTCTGACACTAGCTCTCCTGACAGATGTGTAGTTCCCTGCTGTAAGTCATGGTGCTTTACAGGATGCACCATGAGTTACAGCGTGTTCTCCCGCACCCCTGACCCAACAGATGTTTGGTGTTGGATCTGGGGGGGGAGGGGGTTGAGGGACTGAGCTCTAGTTTGGAGCAGCTGCATTTCTGCAGCTTGTCTCCCCTAGCCTTGCCCCCCAACCCTGGTGCTGTCTTCAGAATGGGGAGTGGGAGAGGGGAGGGGAGGGGAGGGAGGTCTGTCTGGGGCTTGCCCAACCTGCACTGGAGGGTGGAGCGGGTGGATTGGAGCCCCCTGCTTTGGAGGGGGTGTCTCTAAGCCACCCACCCCACCCCACCCTTTAGCACAGGTTGAGCAAACCCCAGACAGAGCTCCCTTCCCTCCCTTCTCCCCCACCCACTATTCTGAAGACAGCAGCGGAGGTGGAGATGGGCTGTAACAGCCCAGCGTTGCTCCCGTCACAGGCTGACAGATGTTAATGAAGGCACTCCACTTTGGAGCGCCTTCATCTGAACACTTCTACAATGAGGGTTCAGATGGTCATAGTTTCATAGTTTCTAGGGTTGGAAGACACCTGAGCAGATCATCGAGTCCGACCCCCTGCCATGGCAGGAAAGAGCACTGGGGTCAAACACCCAGCAAGGTGTTCATCCAGCCTCCTCTTAAAGCCCCCCAGGGTAGGAGCCAGCACCACTTCTCTTGGAAGTTGGTTCCAGATCCTAGCCACCCTGACCGTGAAGTCGCGCCTCCTGATACCTAGGCTAAACCTACCCTCTGCCAGCTTGTGGCCGTTATTCCTGGTCACTCCCAGTAGCGCTCGGGGGAACAGGGACTCCCCCAGTGCCTGCTGGTCCCCCCTGACTAGTTTGTAACAGGCCACTAGATCCCCCCTCAGCCTTCTCTTGTGGAGGCTGAACAGGTTCAGGTCCCGTCGCCTCTCCTCGTAAGGCCTGCGCTGCTGCCCCCTGATCATGAGAGTGGCCTCCTCTGGACCCTCTCCATGCTGTCCACATCCCTCCTGAAGTGCGGCGCCCAGACCTGGATGCAGTACTCCAGCTGCGGCCTGACCAGTGCCGCATAGAGGGGGAGGATCCCCTCCCTGGACCTGCTCGAGATGCATCTGTGGAGGCATGACAAGGTGCGGTTGGCCTTCCTGACTGCGTCCCCACACTGCCGGCCCATGTTCATCTTGGCATCAATGATGACTCCAAGATCCTTTTCTGCCTCTGCACTTTCAGGCACTTTTAAAGCACTCTGCAGCCATGCCCTTCTGCAAGGGCGTGGCTGTTGAGTGCTTTCGAGAGGCTGATTGCGTGAAAATGTCATTGCTGCCTGCACCCTTCTTTACAAGCACGACCTTGAGAGCAAGGCCTTTTACCTTTGGTCTACAGAAGCAGAGAGTAACACATTGCCTCACAAAACCAGTATGATATTATTGTAAAACAGGGGAGTGAGGACACTTGGGGTACCTGCTGCTTGGTCTCTTACTGATAATCTGAAAGACTTCATACCTGTGTAACTAGTTCCCTACCTCACTCATTCCCTAGGCATCGCATCAGCTATGCGCCTTGGCTTCCCCATCTCCAAAACTACGATCTCCACTGCACAATGGAGAGGGGAGGGTGAGTTTCTAAGGATACTACAGGAAAAACTCTGGTGAGGTAAAAGTTGTATGCACACTGAGCCAAATACACTCCCCTTTGCTGCATTAAATCCCATACAGAAACATCCCCAAGTTACAGAGAAAAAGCAAGGTTAGCAGTAAAGATTTAGCAACGACCCCGCTGTTGGTCAGAAGCATAACCTGAACTAGAGACATTCAACGTGGCCTTTTGCTACCTCAGCTAAAGGAATAACTCCAGTATCTGCCAGAAATAGTAGGCTCTTATCCTCTTATGTGGACCAGCCATAGGACTCTAATGCGTGCACTGACACAGTTGACATATGACTGGCTTGCATACGACTCCACTCTTCTCATAGCTCACTGTCCTCTTGCATGATGTCCTGTCCTGCGCTGCTCTGGAAGCCTCCTCTCCCTGCATCCTGTTCACTTATACCCTATAGGTCTGTTGCACACTGACAGTGATGCACCCGTGGCCCGGCACATTTGTGCGCATTCCTCGAGTCAAGCTGCGCAGAGTGTGAAATGCTGGTTCCAGCAGTCCTCCAAGAAGGGCTGCAGCGGTGAGGGAAGCAGCTGCGATTACCAGGCAGATGGCAACAAATATACATGTTAAACACATGGAAATAAGAGCAAATAGTGAGGATGAAGAGACAAATATTGAACAGGGTCCAGCACTGAAACTAAACAAACACTAGGAAATGAGAAGCTTGTTGAAATGAGATGAGCACTGGGAATAGGCAAAATGCTGGGAATTGAACCAACAAGTGAATCAAAGCGGCACGGAGCAAAGCGCTGCAGCAGAAACCAGGCCTTGCAAGGTATAAGCAAGGAGCATGCAGCAAGCAGAGCCAGGAACACAAGGGCTAAGCATGCCTGGGAGACCAGGCTTCGAATTTGGGAGCTGGTGGTGCATGCATGAGGGATGACCCCAAATGCTCTTGAAACAAAGTGAGCACATGGGACTGTGCCTCCTGCTTCCCATTTGGAGGCTATGGCAGTCGTGCTGGGGCAGAAGCATGCCCCAGAGACTCTACCAGGCGCGCCAGTGATATATATGCTCTGGGGACCGTATTAAGCATAAAGGGCTTGTAGTAAATTGTCGCCTGCAGCTGGAGACAGAAAGCGAACGTGGCTACAGAATGGCATTACAGCACAGGCTCTTTTGGCCTCCCTTCCTTCCTTTCCCTTACCACCTATTTTCCCTGCCTCTTTGCACACTGCTGCTGCAAACCCTAGTTAGGGTGAGATCCTCAGAGCATGTAATCCAACTGCCTGCCCTAATGCAGGTGGATGGCACCTGGAAGGAGGCACAAGCTGTTGACCTCAGCAAACCTGCTACAGCCCTCCTGGGCTTCTTCGCGCAGCTGCGACTAGCGCGAGGCGCTGCTGGTACTTGACTCACCCGTCCTTTGTAGTCACCTACCAGGGGCTGTAGACACCTTGGTGGTGACGTAACGTGCCATAAACTTTATTGGCACCGCTAATTGGGTCTGCTGCTGTGGCAGCCACCTTGCCAAATAATGACAATGCGCGAATTAGAGGAGAGGAGCCCTAGATGGCGTGAGGGGACTCATCACTCATTTGCAATAAATGGAACATAATTGCCTTTGTAAACACCTTCATTATAAAGTAATCATTTTGTGCTGTTCTGCTTTGACGGGCACGTGGTGCAGAGGCCTTTTGCTGGCAGCCAGAGGAACAGGGCTGCAAAAGATGGAGCGGAGTAAGATCCGGGGCTGCTGGCAATTAGAAACAGACAATGTCTGAATCTGGGTTTGAACCCTTTCCTGCTGAGCAGGGGAGATGTCTAGTTAACTAACTGCTGGATTTACTCAAATACAAAAGGAGGGGTTTCCCCCCAGTCAGCAGGGGAGGGATTATATTTGTGTACAAGGAAACCTCAGTAAACACATTGTCCATCATGTAGACATTATCTTAAGCAAGGCAATGTGTGGGGAACAGACACACAGATAAGGACTGACTTCTTGAGGTGGATACCTAGCACAGGCAGAGCTGCAACCTAGCTGTCCTGTAGTCTCAGCTGAAGAGCTCTCCAGCAGAGTCCATGAGCACGGACACTGCAGCAAGCCTCAGCCGGTTGCACTCACAGGTTGGCACTCGTCTTCCCACTTCTCTAGCACCTACCTCCTCTCTCCCCTTTGCATGCTCTTTGTCCTCCTGATAGAGGACCTTTTCCTAACAGCTCCTGCCAGATGGAAAAATTCCTGCATTTCCCTGGCTATTGCCTTATCTCACTCCTGTCCCCATCTTTAAATCTGCATGCTGGAAGCTTTGCTCTCCAAAGGACCCAGTCCTGCAAAGACCTGAGCCCGTGCTGAACCTTCCTGATGTGCACAGTCCCGAGTTCCCCAGGGCTGGCGTGATTACAGGTCCACCGCTTAATTTTACTGAAGGTTTTTTTGGTAGCAGCTTGCCTGAAAGATGTTGAATAATAAATCCTGTATTGTCCTCATTACAATCCAGGAATGCAAGAGAGCTCATTTGTTGATTTAGATCTGCTCTGTTATTTAAATGAGCCAGGCAATTTATTTAAAATTCCTTTGCTAGATTTCTAGTATTGTGCACTCCTGAATTTTTTTCCCCCCCCCAAGAGAGTTGAGCTGAGTGCAGTTGAGGAGCAGGGAGGCTGAGTGACTCACTACAGGTAAGAAATGAGCTTGGGCTTTTCACGTCTACCCAGTGGTTTGCCCTGGTGAGCAGGTAGGGGCCTGGGAGCCTATTTGAATAATAAAAAATGAGGGTTGGTAGGGACCTTAGGAGGTCATCTCGTCCAATCCCCTTCTCAAAGCGGGACCATCCTCAGTTAGCTCATCCCAGCCAGGGCTTTGTCCAGCTGGGCCTGAAAAACCTCCAAGGATGGAGACTCCACCACCTCTCCGGGTAACCTGTTCCAGCTTTACCAGCCTCCTAGTGAGAAAGTTTTTTTCCTAATATCCAACTTAAACCTCCCATGCTACAACTTGAGACCATTGCTCTTTGTTCTGTCACCTTTAGATCAGGGCATGCATGCCAGAGCGTGGCACACAAAGGCATTTTGCTCGGGATGCCCGCGTTGGGGAAAGGACCAGGGCTGTGCTGCCACAAGGATTGGGCCCCTTGTGCCTCCCCTGCTGGCACGCCAAGTTGAGGTTGCAAGTGTTTTTGGCATTCAGCCTCAAAACGGTGCCAACCCCCGATTTAAATGAAGGCTAGTTAAACATTCAGAATCAACATTTTGATTTTTTTTTTTAAAACTATTTCTTTTCTTGAGATTTCAAAGAAAAATACTGGGTGGAATTGTGGTTTCATCTTATTTCTCACCCAGCACTGGCATAGTACTCTCTTCCTTTCCCAGTTACTGTTCAGGAGACTAACAGTGAGAGAGAAAAAAGAGGTGGGGGGTAGAGAATAGCAAAGCTATGCACATTTATTTACAAGTCTAGCAATACTGTCGGCTAAATATTTACAGGCGTTTAAAAAAGGGAAAATGATAAGAAGCCAGCCTTTCAGAAGCAATTGCAAAGGAAAAACAAAAGGAAACATTTGAACAATGACTGAATAGAGGCAAAAGTAAAACAATTACCTGATCAATCATAAAGAAGACAGATTTCCCTAGCAAAGTTATGTTATGAGGTATTCTTAGCAAAGTTTCTTTCTTTAGGGGCTAGCAGTCAGTTGTCTGTGTAGTATCCGTCAGAAACCAGACATGTGCTGGAAGAGGCAGTTCAGTTTTGTGGTTAAACCGTGGACGGGATCTCGAAAGGTCTCCGCTTAATTCCTGCCCCTGCCACAGATGCATTGAGACCACCCTTGCACTTAAGTTCCTCATGGGTACAACACAGATCAGAATAATGCTTCTGTCTTCCCATGCCCTACATCTTTTATGCAGTTATATTGCAAGCTTTGTGGGGGAAGAGGCTGTCTTGTAGGCCGTTTTACGCAGCACCTGGGACAACGGGGTGCTGATGCGAGTTAGGGTTTAGTGGTGCTCCCGTAATAGAAATAGGAAACAACGATAAAAACATCCAGAGAGAGAACTGATAGAATCCAGGAGCCTGGGGAAGCTGTGTCCACCCAAAATACTGCTTGACTAGCCCAACAAAACAATGTATTCTGTGCCTTCATCACTGGCAGCAATCCATGACCATGATGGAGTTAACCTCAGAAAATTCATATACACCATAGGGATTCAGGAGATCCTGGAGATGGAAAATAAATACACATAAGCATACAGAATACTGGTCCATGCATCCTCCAGATGCAGAATAACCATTCACAAATACATGCACAATGCTGTGCGGTGCCCCGTGTCAGCACCCCCGCGCCTGCTGCTCCGGCTTCTATTTGCATTCCAATAACCTCACTAGAAAGTACTGAAGGACCGAGATTTCTAAAGAGCTGTTTTGTAGTCCTAATTGTGCTCTTCTCCTTCAATAATTCATCAGCAAGATCAGCTATTTTCTATGCTTTTTGTCTTATGCTTGTCTACAGAAATATAACACGTCATAAAAGTTCTAACCTTGCTCATCTTAACTAGCTTGCAAATTTGCATTGGCAATACGACCACCTACCATTTGTGGCCAGCACCGAGAACTTGCCTGCTGAGGGTAATGCTAACATGGAAATGAAGCTACTGCTGCAGGTAGCAAATTGCCTGAGTGTCTGCAGAGATGAGACAGAGGAATAAAATGGAGAAAAGGTCAGGACTGCCGTGCCTTGGCAGAGCTGCAAAGGGGCTAAGGACTGGAGTTGCTGGGAGGGAGCGGGGGGTCTGCTGTGGGTCAGGATTGAGAAGCACAGTACTGTTATTGGTACGGGAAGCACAAAGTCGGATGAACTGACGCTGCTACAGGTCAGGATTGCTGGTGGGCGAGAAGAGACAAGGGCCAGGTGGGGCTTCAGGGTCAGGCCTGCAGAGCAATGCGCTGTTGGAGAGCTACGTAAAAGAGGGGAATAGCAGAGGATGCTGCATGTCAGGATGGAGGAGCATTAGAAAAGATGCACCAGAATACAAGGACTCGAAGGGCACAGGTCAGGAATTGACTGAGCTTTGCGGGGCCTCATTTCTGGAATAGCCGGGGCGCAGGTGAGGGCAGGGAGCAGAGCCGAGATGGGGAGCCTTGGGGAGTGGCGTGCAACGTGTTCTGCAGTTCAATATCAGCCTCTCTGTTCCAGGAGCACCACATCAAACCCACCAAACCCCCCCCCCAAATAGGAATGGAGCCGAGCTGAGATCATTGCCGGCGACAGCCGCAAAACCCCGCCGTTCAGAAATGCTGGCAAAGGCAAAATGAGTCCCGTTGTGAGAATGCAAGGAGCTTGAAGTTTCTGCTCTCTTATTTTTCCTGAACAGTTAAATTCATCCCCTTAGAAAATGAGAAACATACAAATAAAATCCATCTGAGTGATTCAGGTTGTCTGATTCTTCATCCATAGACACCCTTT